CTGCAAACTTTCCACCTCAATATCTTACAGAACAACTATTTCCACAGTAATTAGCTGCGAGGACTTTACAAGACAACCATATAATAAGTACTTTATATGGTCAAGAACCCGAGGCCCAAGGAAGTTAGGTGTGTAATGAAATAACGGCAACTGCCCTAACGGGTTTGGCTCAGTGGATAGAGCGTCGGCCTGCGGACTCAAGGGCCCCAGGTTCGATTCCGGTCAAGGGCATGTGCCTTGGTTGCAGGCACATCCCCAGTAGGGGTGTGTAGGAGGCAGCTGATTGATGATTCTCTCTCATCGATGTTTCTGACTCTCTATCCCTCTCCCTTCCTCTCTGTAAAAAATCAATAAAATATATTTAAAAAAAAAAAGAAAGAAAGAAAGAACGGCAACTGTTCAAGAATAGCATGACTATACCCAACGGCCACAATTTTTTTGCCCATTTGTCAGTGTCTTGTATTCTGTCTAAATTCAGACTTGCAGAAAACCTGCGAAGACTATCTTTTCATGTCAACTTCATGTCATAAATCATTTGGATTTCCTGAAGTCTGGTCTCAGAGCTGCTACTTGCTTTAAGGCAAAAAAAGGTTTCACAGCAACCTTTGTTTTCTGCTAAAATGACAGTCTTTCCAAATCACCCATCATAACTAATGCCATATATCTAAACACACATACAAATACTATGTTAACCTTTACCAACCTGTTAGTATGACATTTTTAAATTTAAATTAGAAAGATCTCACCACGCCAAGCATAAACAATATAATTGCCTCCATATGGTAGGAGATAATTAACTGCTAATTCTTGAGAGAGTTTATAATAAGCAATATGATACATTATGGTAGGAAATTGTTTAATAGAAACTTGTGGCACAGGAACATCTGTGAAACACAGTCAACCATACCACCCAAGGTCTCTATGCTTCTATTATAAATCAAGTCACCATCACACAGTTGCTACCATATCTCAAATGGGGTCTTCAACTGCTGTCTAAGCAGTTCAACCTCACAAACTAATTTCTATGAAAAGTTTTCAAATTTGGGGTTAAAATTGTGGAATTACCTTAATTGCATATGTAATCTGTTATTTCTATTACAGTGCACGGAGCCTAATTTATTTGATTCTGTTTTGTTCCAACTCTTAGAAAATTTTAGGGGCCTCAGGTCCTGCTATGAACTCTAAAGAGCACAATGTGATTTGAAAGGTTCTAAAAATATCACAGGTTTGCCTTGGCTCACTTGGAAGGGCGATGATTCAATTACAAGTGTCAAAATTTGATTCCTGATTTTTCGGGATCTGACAGCTGAAGTAAATCTTGCCAGGATTCCCTTATTCTCATTGTGCTTCTCTCTGAAGTATTTAAAGATTTCATAATCTTTGCAATTTAGCTCTAGGTTTTTAGGATTGCAGATGGTAGCTGTAGAATGAATTGGTTGGGCCTTTTAAAAATATATATATATATTTTTTATTGATTTCAGAGGAGAAGGTAGAGGGAGAGAGAGACAGAAACATCAATGATGAGAGGGAATCATTGATCGGCTGCCTCTGCACACCCCACACTGGGGATCGAGCCCACAATTCAGGCATATGCCCTGACCGGGAATCAAACCATGACTTCCTGGTTCATAGGTTGACACACAACCACTGAGCCATGCCAGCCGGGCTTGATTGGGCCTTTTTAAAGCTGCTTATAAATATTACTTGAATAAGCACATTTTTTAAAGTAGGTATTGACAGCAAAACAGCTAGGCTCTTGTAACGGTTAGGGGAGAAAACACAATGGACTCTATACCCATGCACCACAAACCAGGAAAGACCTTTCAATGCATGAAGCGCCAACAGAATCTTAACCAGAGGTTCATTTGTTGCTGTAAAAAACTTCAGACCCAAAAGGCATGCATTTATCATTTGAATGACAGCTCTGGGAAGGGGGCACTGCATCACTGGGGCTGCTTTTTGTTTGCTTTGCTAATAGAGAGATCAGGGTGATTACAACGGTAGCCATGTCGCACTACTACAAGAAGCACAAGTTCTATTTTTTGCTCTCCAGTAAGTGAAACAAGTCATCAAGCTCAGATTGCCTATAAAAGCAGAAATCTCATCACTTACCAAAACAACTGACTGGAGGCTATTATATTAAATGGCAAATATAGGTTTATGGCCAGGTATTTATTTATTTACTAGAGGCCTGGAGCACAAAATTCATGCACAGGTAGGGTCCCTAGGCCGGGCCTGCAATCAGGGCTGATCTGTGGGGCAACTGGCAGGGTGATTGAGGGGCCCCCTGCTCACACCTGCCTTGGCCGGCCTGCCACCTGCCACTCGCCGACACAACCCCCTAACCCTACCACAACTGCCACCAGTGGCCTCCCTCTGTGGGGCGACCAGGGGGAAATGGGAGGGGGGGGCTGTTGGCACCCGCCTTGACTGGCCTGGGACCTGCGGAAGCTCCAGTGTTGAGCGTCTGCCCCCTGGTGGTCAGTGCACATCATAGCGACTGGTCATTCCACTGGTGGTTCCGCCATTTGGTTGATTTGCATATTAGGCTTTTATTATATAGGATTTTTAAAAATCCTCACCCAAGGACATGCTTTCTTTTTTAATATATATTTTATTGATTTTTTACAGAGAGGAAGGGAGAGGGATAGAGAGATAAAAACATCAATGAGAGAGAAACATCGATCAGCTGCCTCCTGCACACCCCCTACTGGGGATGTGTTCACAACCAAGGTACATGCCCTTGACTGGAATCGAACCTGGGACCCTTCAGTTCACAGGCCCCACTGTACAATTCTATGCATTGTAATTCAAAAAATTTAACAGATAACATTCTTCAATTTAATAGGTAACCCCCCCCCCCCCTTTGTTTTGTTTTTATAGTTGCATTTTAACAGTAGGATTGGTGCTTTTCACTATTGCCCTGAGTCCTGATCTATCGGCCCAGGGAGAACTTGCCAATCCTGCGCTTCCCGGGGTGGCATGATAAAGGTTTACTGAGTCGGCTGGAAAGGCTGCAGTGGGGTTAAGGATAAGGCCCCTGCTGTTTGGTGGGGCCGGCCCTGCTTGAAGTTTCCCTGCCTAGCGGGCATTGGTTGCCACAGCAGCCCCTTTCCTTTTTCTGCTGACCAGCGAATGCAGCAGCTGATACTATTCCCCGAACATAGGCTGGTCCAATGTCAGCACAAACACGAATCTCTAAGTTGTTTTCCTACCTTCTCCCACGTCTCTACATTTACCTTTCCTTCCTCAGGAAATCACGGGCAGGTTTTACTTACAAAATCCAACAAATCTATGAGCTGTTGATACCTCACAGAACAGCCCCGTGCTTAGAGCATAACATTAAGCATTGTCTATATATAAATTCTTTTCCCACAATCCTGAATTTCCCATATTTTACACCTAGTTATGTCACTGAACTTCGCTCCTTACCTTCCTTCTTGTTTTCTGCACGTGCTTCACTGGAGCATCTTTTCACCTGACAACTGTAGTTCCCCCGAACTCAGGCCCCGCATCGGGCACCACATGGGCCGAGCCAGCTGAGCCAAGGGTTCAAAAGTCTGAGTGAGGGTGGAGAAAGGATGGAGAAATGACAGACAAAGAGCTGGGTGGAGGTCATCCCTGGGCAAACTATGGCCCATGGGCCGGATCCGGCCCGTTTGAAATGAATAAAACTATTGAAAAAAAGACCGTTCCCTTTTATGTAATGATGTTTACTTTGAATTTATATTAGTTCACACAAACACTCCATCCATGCTTTTGATCCGGCCCTCCAGTCCAGTTTAAGAACCCATGTGGCCCTCGAGTCAAAAAGTTTGCCCACCCCGGGGCTAGATACTCAATCTAATTCCTAATCAAGAAAAATGAAAATTAAAGCAAAATATTGTCAGAATGCCAAAAATTAAAAGATTGAGGATCAAATGTGGTGAAGAGTTTTAAGTAAGAGAGGAAACATATACTCTTTTTTTTTTTAAATATATTTTATTGATTTTTTACAGAGAGGAAGGGAGAGAGATAGTTAGAAACATCGATGACAGAGAAACATCGATCAGCTGCCTCCTGCACATCTCCTACTGGAGATATGCCCGCAACCCAGGTACATGCCCTTGACCGGAAGCGAACCTGGGACCTTTCAGTCCGCAGGCCGACGCTCTATCCACTGAGCCAAACCGGTTTCGGCGAAACATATACTCTTATACAATCTTGGTGCCACAACCAGACCAGTGATCAAACCTGAGAATCTTTGGTACAAGGGCGGATGCTCTAACCACTTAGCATACTGTCCAGGACACTACTACTTCTTGATACTCTCTCACCTACTGTGTATACAGATGAGTGGCAAAGAACATAATTTTTTTTGGTGGTTACCGTGTGGTACCAAATGAAACCCCAGTAAAGTCCATCTATCCTATATAATAAAAGACTAATATGTAAATCGACCGAACAGCAGAATGACTGGTCACTATAATGTGCACTGACCACCGGGGGCAGATGCTCAATGCAGGAGCTGCCCCCTGGTGGTCAGTGTGCTCCCTCAGGGGGAGTGCTGCTCAGCCAGAAGCCTGGAGCCGAGCTCACTTCTTGAGCACAGCGGCGGTGGCGGGAGCCTCTCCTGCCTCTGTGGCAGTGCTAGGAATGTCCAACTGCCAGCTTAGGCCCTCTCCCTGCAGGAAGTGGACCTAAGCCATCAGTCGGACATCCCCCAAGGCTCCCAGACTGTGAGAGGGTGTAGGCTGGGATGAGGGATGCCTTCCACCTGCCCCCCCAAGTGCATGAATTTCATGCACCGGGCCTCTAGTATTATATAATTGTAAGTATAACAAATGTTCTCCCTTTTGTTCATATGGCCTATCACTTTATCAAAGTAGAAAATAAAATTTGTCTACCAAGATTTGTTACTTATAAAATTATGCTGAATGTTCCCCAATAACCTCTGTTCTTTTAGGTAACTGCCAAGTAAGTGGTTTACTTGATTTGTCCTAGTTTCTGGCCACTCCTTAAAAATTAATTTGACTACCCTTAAAAAAAAAGAATGCTTTTTCTGTCATTGGATACTTTTCCTATACAATATATTTAGTCAAAAATAAAGGCTAATAGCTAGCTGGTGTGGCTCAGTGGTTGAGCGTCAACCTATGAACCAGGAGGTTGTGATTCCATTCCCAGTCAGGGCACATGCACAGGTTTTAGGCTCAGTCCCCAGTAGGGGGCGTGCAGGAGGCAGCCAATCAATGATTCTCTCTCATCATTGATGTCTCTCTCTCCCTCTCCTTTCCTCTCTGAAATCAATAAAATATATATATTTTTTAAAACTTAAAAATAAATAAATAAAGGCTAATAGCTTGGCACTAGGTTCTTGTGCCTCTACTTGCAAACAGGGAATAGCTAATGCTGGATTATAAGCACCACTCATGCCAAATGTGGCCATATCAATGACTATTTCCTGTCAATTGGGCAGCATTTTCTTAAGAAAAGATAAAAATGCTAGGAGATAACATGTTCTCTTATAAAGCAGAATTGCTGCATAATTAATCTTTTCTTTTTCTTGGCTAGCAAGGATGTCACGAAGCACATGCTGTTGGCTTCCAAGTATCATTTAAAATACTCCCATGTCTCAAAGCAATCTGGAAGTAGATGTTAAAAGCCAAAGGAATGTTTCAATCAAGTGTTGACTTTTGAAAACCTACCACTTCCCCAATAAGCTAAAAGGCATATTGGGAGGTTACAATCAGAAAGAAGCACCACAGAAAAAAGTGTTTGGCACAGTGAAGGTTCACTGCAAATTTGTAACAGTATGAATTCAACAACTTTTCAAAGCCAAAATGAGGCCTGGACAGAGCAGCTTTTCAAAGTAGCCTTTGCTGAGGCCTCTTAGCTAATGTAAAATAACAAAGCTGTAAGAGGTGGTAAAGTACAAGCAATGTTTAAGATTAAAATGTGATCTACCACTTGATTTGCTAAAAAAAAAAAAAAAAAAAAAAAAGCACTGAGCTGAAGATAAGATATTTTCCTTCCTTCCTTCATTCTTTTTTGAGCTAACTTTATAAAAAGGAGATGGGGAATTATATTTTTGGTGCTTAAGTTTAATCACCAAAAAGGACAATTATTACTTGTCCTACTACTAATCTCATGAGCCTGACAAAATGATAAATAACAGCTGTTAAAGCACTGTTCAAAATTTAAAATGTATGTAGCAATGCAAGATATAACTGTATTTTTAAACTTTGTAAACATCCACAATGAAGTAATTTTAAAGGTGTCAGTGCAACTGGTCAAACACACATTACTGACAAAGTAACTTAGTGGTGATTGTTCTCAACCCTCTAGGAAATTACATTTATCAACAATTACGAATTTTTTTCTTATCTGTTCCTACTCATTTGATTTCACTTTTATAAAATAAACGCAGTTTAAACCCACTTAATTAAAGAGTGGAAATTTAGAATATTAGCTCATAAAATCATTAAGATCTGTCATTGTACATCAAGAATATCTTAATATTACTACACAGAGTTTTCAGTTATACAGAAAGAGGTTTCATAAAATAATACTAACTTCCCATTATTGACATTAAAAAAAAAAGGCAAAAGTATTCATGGTTTCAAACAAGAACAATACTTATATTCTTGTCCCATGAGAGACCTCAACTTACCTCATCTCCCTTCAGAACCTCAGTGCCATCAAACTCCCGGGCCTGGTTTGTCTTCACAGACACCTCCCGCTCTAGGCTGGCTAACTTCTCCTTTGTTTCCTGCAATTCCTCAGCTTTTGCTTCTTTTTTACGTGAAATTATGGATGCCTAATTGAGCATTAAATGTCAACGTAAAATAAAACATATCCAATCAACATTCTGTTAAACTGTGAAATTCTCTGTTTTAGAGTTTACCAAACTAAAATTTCAATGTAAGCATATCCACCAGGATAGCTACAATAAAAAAGACAGATAATAACAAGTATTGGCAAGAATGTGGAGAAATCAGAACTTTCATACACTGTTGGTAGGAATGTAAAATGGTATAGCTCATAGGAAAGCAGTTTGGCATTTCCTCGGTGTTAAATTATCATATGAACCCGCAACTTCTAGAAAGATAGTCAATGGAGAGAAAAACATATTTCC